GGAATAGTACAATATTGACCAGACCATCCTGCATTACATTGACAATATGTAGGATGATCTCGACTATTCGAATACATAACACATTTGCCATGAATGCATTTTAAATTTGAACAACTTTTAATAAAGTCTTTTGAACTTGGAATAGTAGCAATAAATGCTAGACGATGAACTGGTAAAAATGGAAATTCGATTGGATATAAGAAACTTGCTCGATAATTTAGCGAAATTTTTTCATAAATGTCAACATGTATTGAATAATTTCTTGTTTGAGATTTTGGTCGATTTGAATAAACTAAATAGACATTAAATTTAGTTTTACAATCTCTAATCGATAAATAACTCAATTGTTCGTATGAATGAATAATTCTTTGTTCGCTATCATCGATCAGTGAGATTATAATTGTAAATAATGTTGATCGCGAATCAGACATTACTCGAAATGCCATAGTTAAACTAACACGTTGATTTTGATTTTGACAATGATCACCATAATAACTAGGCGGACAAAGACATGTATTTGTTGTTGAATTATTTTGTTCATTGAGCCAAACGCGTAATTGAATACCTCGAGAACATGGATTCTTTCTGTTCATCATAAGTTCATATTGCTGTGGACGTCGAATAATTCCTGATGGTCTAATACTAGTTGTTTGATTATCCGTATTGAATTCTGTCAATCCATCTAATAAAAAGTGTTTAATAAATGATTTTCTTTTTGTTACTAATTCTTTATAGAAAAATTGCTCAATTTCAGAATAAGAAACTTTGCCATTTAAGGAGGACAGTCCATAGATATAACTTTTCATACAAAATTGTTCATCATCACCATATTCACAGTCGAATTTACCGTTGCATAAATGAGCAAGATTTATGCATTTTTGCGAACTTGAGTTTTTACATAAGAAATTATGTTCTTGGTATTTATAGCCGTCTTCTCGGCACAGTGTTCGTTCATCAGTAGCACCAAGACAATCGATGTTGTTATCATTTATTTTTTCAAGTGGTAT